ACTCCTCCTTCCCACCCAATTCCCCATGTCCATTCAACTAGGTCCTAACCCTCTCTGCCTTCCCATCTCACCTCTGGGGGACTCAGTGATTGCTGAAGCCAGTGTGGGACCCAGTGCACAGCAGGGAGCAGGGAGGTAGATGGGAGAGAGGTTTTTCTCGGGGGGAGGGCGTTTTTTGATTCATGCGGTAGGCCGTATGCAATTACTTATCTTTCACTGGATCGAGGACTGCTTCTCACTGGTTCTGGGTGGCTGTGTAGACGTTCAGCAGCTGGGTGTCTCCTGGTGTGGAAAATGTGCCTCCCGAGCACAGCTGCTTGCCTGCCTCACTGCTCACCCACGAGCTGCTCAGGCCTGAAGGGCTCAGGCTCTTGCCAGATCAGGTCTGGCAACTCCTTGCTGCTTCCAAACCTTCTCTCCCTCCCCCTGCCACTCCGTCTGGTTCCTCGACTCTGACTTTGATGTTCAGGGCCCCCAGATTGCCATATATAATTGAATCACTTGTTTTTTAGGGTCTTTGGTGTAAGAGGGTCCACTGGGAGTGTCTGACTATTCCGCCATCTTGGCCCCACCTCTCAGTATAGTGTTTTTAATATCCATCTAATATTGCTATTTATTCATCTAGTTCTTTGCTTCTAACTACTGAATGGAATTCTACCATGTACCTATCTGCCACATTTTGCCTATCCATTGCCTCTAGTGATGAATACCCAGGTTATGTCCTTTTTTCTGCCACCACAAACAACATTGCTATGAACATCCTTGTAGAGGTCCTCTATAGGCCTATAAGAGAATTTCTTAGAGGTGTTGTAAAAGGGTAGTGATAGTAGTAGCAATACTACCTGTCTAACTTCAGAGAGGATAATGCAAATCAAGATCAGCCCAAGGCTGATCCCTATGCGGTGGAGGTCAGACATACCTCCACTCTCTAACCTTTTTACCAATTCTGACACCAGCCATCCCTCCCATGGCACCCTCTTCTCTTCTGGATTTGATAAGCCACTGCAATGGCCACACAGAACTCACAGACCATGTTTACATTTAAGTGGTTTATTAAGGAACAGGGTACAACTCAGGAATCAGAATCAGGAAGCATGTAGGCAAAGTCTCCCTTCTTCAGTGCAGGACAGCTTTCTCAACTCTTCTCTGCAGGATAGGCTTCTTGGCCACCCTGAGAACAGGCTCCTCTGGTCCCTCTCAGGATAGGCTCCTTTTGGCCCTATTGCCACCAGCTCTGCCATAGGCTCCTTCTGGGCCTATTGTAGCTGGTTCTGCCACTGGGCCCCTTCCAGGCCTCTCACTGTCTTCAGTGTTATAGCCCTTGACCAGTGTTACACTTCTTTTAGGAGGTTCCTTGCCTCTGATCTCTCTCTCTGCTTCTTCTTTTCTTTTTTCCTTCCGTTTCTTCCTGCTGCTTCTCTTCCTGCTTCTTTCTGTCTGCCCAAACCTCTGTGGGGCTGACTGCTTAAATACACTACTGCTTGTCAATTTCAAGGCATCACTCTCCCACCAGGGCCACGAACTGACCAATCCCCTCTTGGTATGCCACAGACACTTTATCTGCATAGCAGGGAAGGCTGGGTTACAACTCACCTCATTTGCATAGCCTGTTGACCAATCCCTGCAAGGTGCGTACCAATCACAGGGCAGGCTGAAATTCAGGACCAGAAAAAAAGTATCAAAACCAAGTTATTTACAGCTTACCTAGTGTTAGGGATTGAATTGTGTCCCCCAAAAATAAGTATATCAATTTGGCTAGGTCAGGATTCCCAGTATAGTGTGATAGTCCACCATTTTGTCGTCTGATGTGATTTTCCTATGTGTTGTAAATCCTATTTCTATGATGTTGATGAGATGGGATTAGTGGCAGTCATGTTAATGAGGCAGGACTCAATCTACAAGATTGAATTGTACCTTGAGCCAATCTCTTTTGAGATATAAAAGGGAGAAGCAAGCAGAGAGATGGGGGACCTCATACCACCAAGAAAGTAGTGCTGGGAGCAGAGCACATCCTTTGAACCTGAGGTTCCTGCACAGAGAATCTCCTAGACCAGGGGAAGATTGATGACAAGGACCTTCCTCCAGAGCTGACAGAGAGAGAAATGCTTCCCCTGGAGCTGGCATCCTGAATTCGGGCTTCTAGCCTCCTAGGCTGTGAGAGAATAAATTTCTCTTTGTTAAAACCAGCCACTTGTCGTATTTCTGTTATATCAGCACTAGATACCTAAGACACCCAGGAAAAGTCAATCAACCTGGCCAAAAATAACAAACCCACTAGGGTAGAAAACTAGGGCAAAGGTAACTCCTCAAGGCTTAGGGGAAAAATCTCTCAAGCTATTTTTCCAAAGAACCAAGCAAAACGAACTTATTTCACCACAAGTGTATGCTCAGGATTGAAATTTGTGGCTCATAGGTTACACACACGTTTAATTTGACTAAGTACTGCCAGACAGCTCTCACAGAACAGCCTTGTCAGTTCATAGTCCCACCAGTGATGCACAGAGTTCTCGTGTCTCTGCATCCCTGCTATTTCTTGGCATTAACTAGCTTTCTAATTTTTTCCCACTCCATCAGGTATGAAGTGATAGCTCATTTAATTTGCATTTCTCTAATTATTATTGAGTTGGAGTATTTCCTTTATGCATTTTAGTCTTTTGACTTTCCTCTGTTTTCTTTATCCTTTTTTCTATTTTGATTCCTTCTTGTTCTTAGTGATTTTTCATAGTTCATCTGTGTGGACGTCTTCCTCACCCTAGACAAGCTCCAAGTCCCTCCCCAAGGCAGACACTCTTTTTGTCTTGTTTAGGCTCTGACACCCTGCTTTGGGTCACAGCATTTCCATTCTCATTCCGGTGCAGATGTCTACTATGTTCTGCCCACCTAATGGCTTTAGGACTGAATTGGTCAGGAAGGACAAGAAAGGCATAGAAGACTAGGAAGAGGAATAAGAATAACAATTGGTGTATATTTAGCATTTCAAGTTTCCTAATAAAATGCACTTATTTAAACTATAATTTTTCTGTCAAGGACTACTTTAGCTCTGTTCCACAAATATTAGTGTAGATGTGGGGAAATTGGAATGCTTATCCATTGCTGGTGGGAATGCAAAATGGTACCAAACTCAAACCCATTGCCATCAAGTCGAATCCGACTCATAGCAACCCTATAGCGACACTACAGGACAGAGTAGAACTGCCACATAGGGTTTCTAGGGAGCAGCTGGTGGATTCAAACTGCTGACCTTTTGGTTAGCAACCATAGCTCTTAACCACTGTGCCACAAAATAGTAACAGCCATTGTGAAGACAGTGTGATGATTCCTCAAAAAAACAAAAATAGAATTACAGGTAGTCCCCAGATTATGAACGCATTCTGTTCCTAAGTCTGTCTTTAAGTCAAATTTGTACATAAGTCAGAACAGGTGTGGCTCGTATCTAATGCCAGTCAAATGTTTTTCTTAGTATATAGTGTACCTTTCTATGCATACAAAACATTAAAGAAACAGTTTCAGATGCACTAAAACATCTTTAACATAATAATACAGCAATAATAGTAAAAATGTTTTGCTCTGCATCGCGAAGTAGCACCTGATTGTTATTACAAACCATTGTATGTACCTCAGATTTTTGATATAATAGACTTTATGGGGCTTGGTTCCTAACTACAGTTGTACATAAGTCCGATGTTTGTAATGGGGACTGCCTATACCATATGGCCCAGCAATCTCACTGCTAGGAACATAGTCGTGCGCCACATAACGTCTGTTTGGGCAATGTCCTACCGCATATAAGTCTGTGGTCTAATAAGGTTATACAGTGCTGGAGGAGGACCCTACAGCCCCACCCCCGGAGTGAGGGAAGGAGAAAGGCTCACAGGGAAGCTGTAATTGATGTCAATAAGTTGCACACCTGTAAAAAGTTGAATTGGCAAATGTGTGATAAATATTTTTACAAAAAAGAAAAGAAAGCAGCTGCTGAGTTGCTTATGTACAACTAAACACCTCATGGGATTTGGTTTCTTGGTTTGGAAGTTTAGGGTCATGGTTTCATGGGACAGCCCAGTTAATTGGCCTAATATCATTTTTAGTTCTTCTGTTCTACCTCCTAATTGGTTATATAGTGCCTGGAGCCATCCAAGGTACATTTGGCCTCTGTTCACCTGGAGCAAGAGAGGAAGAAGGAGAGTCAGGAATTGGAGGAGAAAATGGAATGTGTGGCTAATTGCTTCCATGAACAACTGTCTCCTTTGCCATGAGACCAGAAGAACTAGATGGTGCCCAGCTACCTTACTGACTATTTTGATCAAAGGTTCTATAGAAGAATCCTGATCAAAAGGGGGAAAATGTAGAACAGAACAAATTATTGTAATAAACATTTTTGACAACTTGATTTCTAGGGAATGTATAATCATCTATCATATGCAATTTATTTAATTGTTCTTTTTTGACATTTGCATTTTTTAGTTTTTCATGTTATAATGTTGTAATAATAATAACTTTTATTGTCATTTTATTTTCCCAATTATTTTAATACATGTTATTTATCTAGTGCTGCTACAACAGAAATACCACAAATGGGGGCTTTAACAAACAGAAATTTATTTTCTCACAGTTAGGAGGCTAGAAGTCCAAATTCAGCATGCCGGCTCTAGCGGAAGGCTGTCTCTCTCTGTCGACTCTGGAGGAAAGTCCTTGTTTCTTTGAGCTTCTGCTCCTGGGCAATCTTCATGTGGCTTGGTATCTCTTTTCCCCATCTCTGCTTCTCTCACTTGCTTGTGTAATCTTGTATAACCACAGGGATAAAGGTTAGGATTTACAACACATATTTTTTTGGGGGACACAATTCAATCCAACACATGTTTACAGTGGAAAAATTTTTTTACTAATGTAAGTATTGTTAAGCCTGCAATTTGTTAGTCTGGAGTAGATCTGGTCTTATGCTCGTGTAGATCACCATCTTAAAGCACAGCTTCTTTATTTCAATACTGTTGATTTCTGCAAAGGAAAACTCCAGGACCAGGAATTCCCAGATAGAAGAGCATGACGAGAAGTTCAAACAGCTAGAGAAAGACGAGAAACAAATATTCTTGCGTATTCAGCAGAATGTGCAGATTGCTACAACTCAAAGATTGGAGAAGAAAGTTCAAAAACTTCAGAAACAGCTCAGTGATCTGAAATTATCAAATAAAAATATGAAAACTCAACTGACCAGAGTGAATGTCCTTAAAGTAAGTAGAGGAAGTGAGGCTTTCAAAAACTGCATGTTTCTCATTGAACTTCAAAATAATGTAATATTAAAATTATTTTATGTGCATACAAAAGAATATATATAATATTAAGCATGTTATTGTGTGCCATCAAGTCAATTCTGACTCATAGCAACCCTATATGACAGAGTAGAACTGCATCATAGGGTTTCCTAGGCTGTAATCTTTGTGGGAGCAGATCGCCAGGTCTTTTCTCCTGTGGAGTGGCTAGTGGTTCCAATCACCTATCTTTCGGTTAGCAGCTGAGTTCTTTAACCATTGCACTACCTGGGCTCCTTTTACTAAAGCATATAGAACCATAAAATTGAATGTCTGTGAATTCACCATTCAGCTTAAGAAACAGTATTACCGATCCCTTTTAAGTCCCAGTGTATTTTCCTCCCTAATCCTCAAAGGTAATCGGTATTCTAAACGTTCTGATTCGAATTCCCTTGCTTTTAGTTGTAATTTTACTTTATTTAGCCTTTCTTATTGGGCTAATAGATTAAAATTTTACTCATTTTTTTAGCTTCTCTTTGGACCTTCTCCATATCAACCTTCAGCTATAGTGTTTCAAGTGTACTTTCAGTGCCTTAAGCCAAAGGTACACTAATTTGCCAGTTTATCAACAATGTTTCTTTTCCTGTAAAGTCAGTTATTTTCTCTTTGTATTTGATCAGCATAGACTGTAAGACTTTTGAGGATATAGAATATGTGTCAAACTTCTTTAAATCCCAAATGTCCAGCTTATAAAAGTGCTCAGTGAATGCTGGATATTGATGAATATGATGGTGGAGAAACGCCCTCTAAATACAGAAGTGTGTGGAATTTTCTTTCTTTTCCGTGTATCTAGCTCTTAAAATTTAAAAAGAAAAGCATGAGTTATCATGCCTGTCTGTTACTTAGAAAAGAAATCTAATTACTGTTATTTCCTCCCTTTCCCACACTCTACCCCTCTCAGAACAAAACAATGGAAAAGCTCAGACGATCTTTAACAGAAATTGAAACAATGAAAGAGAAGGCAGTTATGAAAACGGACAACATGAAAACACCGTTAGACTGTGGAGAGCAAGAGGCAAGATCGGACAGAGAGCGGGTGCATCAGATTTTGGGTGCTGTCACTCGTAAGCTCGACACAGCAGAGAGCAAGCTTGAAGACACATCAGGTCGAGAACAAGAGGTCCTTTTTTCTTATTGCTGTATTAAAATTCTTTTAGTTGAAGTGATAAACACTCACCTCAACTTAGACTGTAACTAACTTAGACTAACGAGAATTTATTGACTTACAGAATCAAAGTGAAATTAAACAACTAAACCTCCCAGAGATGGACCTGGGCCCCAGAATCAACTGCAATCAGTACCTGGAACCTTTTAAGATCTTTCTTTCTCTTCTTGACGTCTCTCTGTGTGTCATCTTCAGTCTGTCTCACTGACTCCATATGACAGGAAGCATGGCCACTGACAACTGTGAAGTTTTATATTTAGAGTTTCATTGACAGGGGAGAGAAGTCCAAGGAAGGACCTTATTGGCCCAGCTTAGGTCAAGTGCCTATCCCTGGCCAGTCACCAGTGGGCAGGGGTGGGATATATGATTATCTTATATTAGATCTGAGTGCATATCTCCTGACTAAGTAATGACTATGAGGGAAGGGTCATCTGAGAATGAAAGCTCTGTGGAAATTATGTTTGAGGCTGGGTCACATTCTAGGACAAAAGGATAGTGCCTCTAAACTTGCTTAGAATTTCCCTGTTTATAAAGAAAATATTTTAAGAGATTTTTAAAAGGTTAACTGTCAATTTTGGGCAACTGTGGAATTATGTCACACCTCTGTATATTAGTTGCTTAAGAAATTTGAAACCTTAACCAATTACCTTAAGAGATGCTTAAAAAGTTATATTATCACTTTCTTTTTTAACTTCTGTGTGTTCACCTTCAGGGTTGTTTTTATTCCTCTCTTCAGTGTCCCTTACTATGTTTTCAGTCAAATTTCCTCTCCTTTGAGCACTGGTAATTCATTTTTCATTTCTGTGATGGTTTTGTCTTGTTCTTGCATGAGTTCAATCATCACATCTTCTTCATCCATTTCTATTCTGAATTATTAAATTTCTAATCCAAAAGAAAGATTTTTTTTTAAAAAAGTCTGCAAATCCTTGTTTAATTGGTATTTATGTCAAGCATGTTTCCTGTGCTTCTTGGCTGTTTTGGCAGGGTGTATTTCATCACAACAGTTTGGATGATATTGCCTATTTTTCTCTTAAAGTAACTTTATATGGATATTGCTTGCCATTTATCTATTCATTTTTAAATCTTTTGAATTTTCCTGGGCTAGCAATTTCAGGCGTTTCTACTTTAGGGTGGTTGGGTAGGTAGTCACTTACTAGGTTTCTTAATACCACCCACTTCTGTTGGCACAGTAAAGTGCAGTTTCTAAAGTGTACTAAAACCAGCTGTTGTCCAGTTCACTCTGACTCATGGCTACCTTATGTGCGTCAGAGTAGAACTGTGCTCCATAGGGTTCTCAATGGCTGATTTTTGGGAAGTAGATTGCCAGGCCTTCGTTCCGAGGTCCCTCTGGATAGACTCAAACCTCCAACCTTTCAATTAGCAGCCGAGTGCGTTACCCATTTACACCACCTAGAGACTCTTAAATCAAGCCTTTTGTTTTAGGGGTGGGGGTTTATGTGATATCTGATTCTGTGATACTATCTTATTTAAGTCCTTTAATTTCTACTAATTGTTTTTTTTCTTTTCCTTTACCACCAAGCCTCCAAGGAGCACTTCCCCCTTCCAAGTACCTCTCTCTCCCCTAAGAACCTTGCCGTCTATATCTGCCATTTCTGGTTCCATGTGCTTCCAGGTTCCTTCCTTTTCCTTCCCCAGTTGCCAGTTGTTCTGATCCAACAGGTCTCAGACTTGATCTCAGTATTTCCCTGTTTGTGGACCCTCCCACTTCTGGGGATAGAGTTGTCTGTGTTTCACACCGGTGGAAACCAGCTGCCGCCTCCAGTGCACGCTCTGGAGCTGCCTCTGCTAGTTTATGATATTTCTTTCCCTGTTTAAATGTAAATTGAAATCTGTAGCGTTGTCTAGTTATGCTTTAGAGATGATTTATGAGTGATTTTATTTGTTCTCCTTGTTGATCACTATGGTTTTTGGAGGATGCATAGAGAGATATGTATTTAGGGGGCTGCTATCATACAGCAAATCAGAAGTCTAAAAAGTAATTACCTTGTGGGTGAATAATAACAAAAGAAGGGTATGAAAGTGTTAAAATGAGAAAAAATTTTAAAATGTAAAGGAAATTTTAAATAAAGACAAAGATTTCTTATAATAGACCCCTATTCTAGGAGCCTGGGGGGCCCTGGTGGCGCAGTGGTTAAGAGTTCAGCTGCTAACCAAGAGGTCTGCAGTTCGAATGCACCAGCTGCTCCTTGGCAACCCTACAGGGCAGTTCTACTCTGTTCTGTAGTGTTGCTATGATTTGGAATCGACTCGATGGTGACGGGTGATTCTAGGAGCTTAATTTAAACAAATACTGTTTGAATGTAGAATAGACGACATTTCATAAAGAAGTGTTTAATAAGATTACATTTCTAATACCAATTTCATTGTATGTAACAAGGGGGTGAGCACAACTAATGATGTGTCTTGGTTCTGGTAGCTTGCTGACTTTCGAGAAACCATTATGAAGATATTGAGATTTAATATGAAAACAGCAGACAAGGAAGTCATCAATCAGCTAAGGCTTATTATACAAGCTTATGAAGCATCTAACAAAAAATCAAAGATTGCTTCTGATGGTGAGACTGAACAGTAGAATGAATAAAGAAGTTCTACCTTTTCATTGCTGCCAATAAGGACTCAACAGATATGGATGTTTCCATGAGCATCTTGAATATGGCTACATTATGAATAAAATACGCTGGAAAATTTTCACTTGAATCTATTCTCCTGTATGTTTGTGTTTAACTTTTGTCATAATTTTGTTCTATATATTATGATCTACTTTAGATTATTTGTAGTATATAATAGTTATCTAATTATATTTATTAACTATATTTTAAGTAGGATATTAATCAGAACTTGTGTTTAAGTTGGAATATTTATAGCCATAGTTAACAGTCTGTTTTTAGAATGAATAATTTATTGGGTTTGAAATCCCTCTTAGGAATCCAGGTAAAGTTATCATCTATGGCTTCCGAAATTATTTGATTAACTGAGAGTGTGAAAATCAGATCTGAAATGTTGAGGGGTAGGAAGGTCATCGAGAATTCTTATAAATGTGCAACCCAGTGTAGTGTGATTTTTATTTTCTTAGTGTTTAATAGTTTCTGCCAGTGCTTTCCTGATGGTGGCCAGATCCTTAAATTAAGGGGCTACTTTTTCAATAGTATAATTTTTAATTTGTTTCATTTGAAATAGGAAACCGCTCATCTTCCAGGGTAGTTTTAGATTTACCCAAGATGTCGTCTATGGGAAAAGGTCAGAATCCGCACAGGCCTATTGGGACTAAGCGCCAGTTGTGGGCACTTAAAAGGACCTCTTACATGGCTTAGTTTTAGAGGGATTCTTAGGGTGGAACAGGTCCAGTTACATTGGCTCTTGCAAAAGTAGCACTTTGGAAGAAAATTATTATCTTGAATACTCATTTAAGGAAAAAATGAGTCACTCACCTTTTAAATGGTCACAGCAGTGGTTCCCAAATTGTGTGACAAGCAACCTGGTACAGTGCAGCAATCTCATAGGAGTGCCAGAGAATATTTCAAATTTTAGGGGAAATCACAGTGATACGTGGCATCTGTCAGGAAACCACATGAACTACTAGCTCCAGGTAGTTTCTTGTTTCAACATTAGACCAATCGTCATTCCTTGTATCTTTGTGAGGGAAACTGCCCATGGCTCCTCAGGACTTGTAAATTTGTTTCCAAGAGAGGCACAGCAGTTGATGACGTTACTACCAAGGATAAAGACCTTCAAATTTGGGGAATGAGGGACTCTTTCCCCAGACTTCAGGACCCCTGGCTGCAAGTGTGAGAAGCCTGCTTATCTTTCCTCTTAGCCCTGCAAAAGAGGAAGGTGGGACATCCTGCCCAGAGCCCCAACCTGTAGCCCAACCTGCCTAAGCTGTAAGAACTACAGTGAAAAACCTGTGAGAGGTGGAACTTGATGCGACTTCCTTGTTTTTCTGGTCTCACAAGTTTTCCACCTTTGACAGGGTGCAGTCTTACCACTTTTCTATTGCTCTCTATTAGTGGAAAATATTTGAGTTTTCCTTCTCGGCCAGGTGTCTACCTTACATAGGTTCTGGCTTTCACGGGTTTTACTGTGTTTTCTTATTCAGGATTTCCCCAGGGCTACCCAGCTTCCTGCTGCAGCCTTAGCACCCAGGAGCTGGGGGGACTGTGCTATCCCATAAGCTAGGCAGGCCATGTACCTCCCAGGGCATCCCCTCTCTTAGGAATTCCAAGCACTGTGTATAAGCTCCCAGCTCCCAAAGCCAAGCTCTCCACGAAGGTCAAGGTGCCAAAGTGCAGCAGCCTCTGAAAGAGCCACCCTATGAGCACATTATAAGAAAATATTCTATAAGCACAAAGGGGCCTTAGTCTTAATGCTACTCTGAACTGTGTTAGTAGGAACTGGTCATTCAACCACAGAGCAATGCAAAAGGTTAGTTAACTGAGGAGGCAGAAGAAAGACCCTTCAATTATCTGGACTAACCCTTTCCAGAAAATGCTTTCTATACTTGTGGCCAAATCACTGACACACTGTTCTTCAATGATGCGAACTGGATTTAGATTTAAGGCTTTAGGTAAGTGGTTTTCGGCCTCAAGATGCATTAGAATTGTCTAATGAACTTAAAAAAAAAAGTTTTTGCTGGGTCTGTATAGTTTCCAATGCACTTTGATGTGGTGTGGGGCTGAAGTACGGATTTTTTTTCCAGTGCTCCTTAAATTAAAAAAATGTAAATTGTAAAAATCATAAATTGATAAAACTACTTTGGAAACTATTTTGGCAGTGTATTAGTTTCCTATTGCTGTGATAACAAATTATTATAAACTTATCTTAAATAATACAAATTTATTATCTTACAGCTCTGAAGGTCATAAGTTTGAAATGGGTCTCACTGGATTAAAATTAAGATATCAGCAGGACTGCCTTTCTTTTGGAGAGAGGAGTCTCCATTTCTTTGCCCCTTCCAGCTGCTGCTTCCATACAGTACAGTCTTGGAAACCCTATGGGGGCAGTTCTACTCTGTCCTTTAGAGTCGCTATGAGTCAGAATCGACTCATTCTGGGGATTAGGATGTGGTGTTTTTTTTTTTTTATTCTGCCTACCACAGGCCTAATCTACTAAATATATATATATATATATAGGTGTATATATATATATATATAGGTGTATATATATATATATACACCTATAGCCCTGGTTGCATAATGGTTAGGAGCTCGGCTGCTAACTGAAGGTTGGAGGTTCGGATCCACTAGCCGCTCCAGCTGCTCCATGGGAGAAAAAACCTGGTGATCTCCCCTAAAGATCACAGCCTAGGAAACCCTATAGAAAAGCTCTACCCTATAGAGTAGCTCTACTCTGTCCTATAGGGTTGCTAGGAGTTGGAATCGACTCAATGGCACACAGCAACATATTTACCTTACAGAAATGTGTATAGTCTACAAAAAGACATTTACAAGATTATTCATGGCAGTATTCATAATTGCTCCAACTGGAAAATACCCAAATGGCCAACAGTAGAATAAATTTGGCAACCAGTCACTAGTTAAGCATTCAGATCTCCCGTACACTGGAATGTTGAATTTTCTCAGGGGCCAAACTAGAATGTGACTCTAGGACCAAGTCTGGGGAGCTGGCAAATGGAGGAGAGTATGGGTTTGAGGAGAAACGGTAGGTAAATTTATGGGGTTCCATTTAACAAATGATAAGATTCTCGGAAAAGCAATGGGCTGTAAGGAGACCTTGGTTCTAACCAACTTTGCAACCTTAGTCAAGCTCTGGCACTTCTCTGATCTCCAAAATAGAGAGGAAGGGAGGCCTGGATGTTAGCAGACCTCCGGGTCTCTCGGCGCAACACTGAGACATGGGTCAGGTGAAAGCGAAAGAAGAAAGCTTTATTTGGTTGGCCAAGCAAAGGAGCACACCAGGACCTGTGCGGTCAAGACGGCTCCCTGATCGGCAGGCACAGGGATTTATACGGGGAGGAAAACAGAGTTGGGGGCTCTCCTTCAGGGCATGTTCAGGAAAGTGGTCTATCAGTACTGGTGGACAACTTCTATGATGATGTTGTCGTCATCAGGTTAGCACAGCCGCACTGGGATTCAGGGTTCACAAAATGGCCACGGTGAAGTGAAAATGGCAGCTTAGCTCCTCCCAGCAGCCTCCTCATGTCGGCGATATGTCAGTGATGAGTCACCAGGAGGACAAGATGAGGTTCTCTGAGCATGTGTGCGTTGTTCTGGGCTTGCGCGGGCACCTCAGACTGGTTTTGTCTGGTATTTGCCCCAGGCCCTTATGGTTTCTCCTGGGACTAGAATGAGGAAGTCGGAATGTCTAGTCTAGCCCTGTTCAGCCACCATCTAGTAGTTGCCCGTCTCACTCCTCCCTTTTCTTTTAGGATTTGGGTCCAGAATAAGGTCCAAATCCTGACCAAACAGGGACATGGGCCGAAGGTCATTCTTCTGTAATAGCTTCATGCTGATTAGAGGCACTGGCATAGAACTGGACTCCGGCTGTAACTGGTTCGGGGGAAATGGGATGATATCTCTATTGTAATATAATTTGCAGATGGAACTTCTGGAGCCTGGAGGATATAAACTTTACTAAAAGGTTAAACAAACAAGGCCCAAATACAAGCAGCAGGATGACAGTCATCAAGGGTCCTAGAAAGGGAAGAAACCATGTTAAGCCCGGGATTGTAGCCTTTACTGCATTCCAGATATCCTGGGAAGTTGAGCCTTGGTTGAACTTGTGTAGCCATTTAGCTTTTTCATAAATCTTTTTCACATTTATTTCTGCTTCTCCTGAGGTGTTGACGTACTTGCAGCTACTGCACAAACGCCTCCTTTTTCAGCTAGCAGGTAGTCCAGAATGATACAATGGTCTAAGACCACTTTTGCTAGAGCGTCAAGGCTCTTTTGTTGAGCTTCGATGGCTCAAGCAGTGGACTGGGCAATATTTTCTATGGACAAAGTCAGATTACAGAGGGTGGCTTCTTGATAGGCAAATCCTCCCCAAGGGGCCAGGAGTCGTATTACTACACCTGCCACAGCCAAAATTAAACCTAGTGCTTTCTTTTGTCTATAACTTCAGGTTAGGTTGGAGGCCTGGTAAGTTCAGATGCTGGTGCCTGAGGTGGACAAAAATCCTAGGGAACATTGACTTGTGGTAGTCACAGGGTCAATGCAAGGAGTTGCCCATCCATAGCTTGGATAGTGATAAGCTGGCCATAGCATGGACAGTGATAAGCTGGGTTACAGCTATTTGGGTATGAGTTGGATCCGCATATCCAGACATAGCCGTTGGAGGAATATAGAAATTCAGTGATGGTGCTGTTATTGAGGGCGATGTGAGCTTGCTTGGGCCAAGTGTTGCTTTGTAAGCTTGGGGCTGGGGAACCATAAAGTTCAGGTTTGTATGCTCAGCATGTGGGCATTTGGTGTCCTCTCTTGCTGCATTGTATATATGCTTCGGAGGTGATGAAGTGTGCCTAGGGGTGCAGGGCCCATGTTGTACTGCAAGCAATAGTTAGAGAGCAAACAAAGAGTTCTTGGGAAATTTTTGGGTATCTTCCTTCTGTTGGTGCCCCTGTACAGCAGGTTTGGTTGGTCAGATTAGTTTGGATACATTTTGTCTCATTCCAATTGTCTGGGGTTGTAGCACTGGAGTTAGCGAAACTCTGGATGGTTTGTTGGCCAAAGTCTTTATTGTAATCAGAGGAATTGAACTCTTGGTCAATGACTTGAGAACAAACAGGATGGGTTTGGTTCTCAACACAGAAAATGTTAATCCCATATATGAGAGTGAATGAGACATGGACTCAGAGGGAGACCTATCACATGTGGAATTTGGTGATGTTTTTGGTAGGTGGGGTACTTGGGTGTAATCATTGACTGAGATTGCTTCTATATTGCCTTTAGTTCTGGTGGGGGATGTTTGAAGCAGACCCAGCAATCTTGCAAGCAGAGAGCGTTTGAGGTACTTATGAGATAGTTATCTTACCATTCTGGGGATTTTGTCTCTCTCCCAGAGAGACATAGGAGATAGACAAACAGGATGTCTAAGAGGTGAGGGAATAGGATGGAAATTATATAAGGCCACATGTGTGTAGCAGCGTGCACAGGAAAGCAAGAGCCCAAAAAGTGAACAGAGTTATGAACAGAGCTAGTTGACAGTCAGTCATTGAACCCAGCAGGAAGCAAGCACCAGGTCATACAAAACCAGAAAATAATTATCAATAAGGCTAAAACAACATACACGGCCACCAGGGGGTGACAATCAACTGGCACAATTGTCTATGTTGCGTGTTTTTTCTTAAAGATATTATCTAATCTTTAAACCCTCTAAAGGCTGAGTCTCCCAATTATCGCTGTCTTGCCAGTTCTTACCCTTTTGCAGGCTCTGTTGGTCCATATCGGGGGTGGGAGCTGGTTTGATGCGAGAATGGTGGATCCACACTCCCCTTCCAGCAATCTTGACTGCAGTGGGGATTGACATCAACACCTCAAAAGGTCCCTTCGATTTTTCTGTCAGGTCTGCAGCGTTCCAGGTCTTGACATAGATCCAGCTACCAGGCTTCGAAATGTGGAGAGGGACTTTGAGCTGTGGAAGAATCTGCCACGTCGCATACCTGTGAAGAGAGTCAAGCATTCCCCACTGCAAAATACAAATATTTGTTTAATAGCGAGTTGACCTTGCTCATGCATGTTCTCAGAATTCAAAGTATTTAAGCCCTTCCAAAAGTTACGGAGGAGGGAATGCCCATACACAAGCTCAAAAGGGTTGCCTTAAGTTTAGTTTGAGGTGCAACTCTAATCCTGAACAGAGCCAAGGGAAGGGCCTTAACCCAGGAAACTTTGGTCTCCCGGCACAGCTTGGCCAAATGGGTTTTGATAGTCTGGTTCATCCTTTCTACCTTTCCACTGGATTGGGGACTCCATGCACTGTGAAGACACCACTTCATCCCCAGTTATCAGGCTACAAGTTATGTGACCTGAGCAGTAAAGTGTGTTCTGTTGTCACTCCCAATGGTTTGTGGGAAGCCAAACCTGGGGATAATGTCTTCCAGCGGTCTTTTGGCAAGTTCTGTGGCCTTTTCAGTCCTGCAAAGGAATGCTTCGACCCAGTTGGAAAAGGAGTCTACAAACACTAATAGATACCTGTAGTTGCCTGGAGCCCAGGGCATCTCAGTGAAGTCTATTTGCCAATCTTCTCCCAGAACATAGACCCTTGATATTGGATCCCCTCTGGCGCTGCCGAGAAGGTCTTGGGGTTTTCTGACAGGTGACACTTTGTCTAGTAACATCTCTGATAATAGCCTGAAAATTTTGGCCAACAAAGTGTCTCTTTACCCTATCACACATCGCTTCCTACCCGTAGTAGGTGGTCTCGTGTAGGTGCTTTAGGATGCCAGAGATCCTGTGTTGTGGAATGAACAGCCTCTGCCTTAGTCATCTAGTGCTGCTATAACAGAAATACCACAAGTGGGTGGCTTTAACAAAGAGAAATTTATTCTCTCACAGCCTAGTAGGCTAGAAGTCCAAATTCAGGGTGTCGGCTCCAGGGGAATTCTTTCTCTGTTGGCTCTGGAGGAAGGTTCGTGTGATAATTCTTCCCCTGGTCTAGGAGTTTCTCAGTGCAGGAACCTTGGGTCCAAAAGATGTGCTCTGTTCCTGGTACTGCTTTCTTGGTGGTATCAGATCCCCCCGTCTCTCTGCTCACTTCTCTCTTTTATATCTCAAAAGAGATTGGCTTAAGATACTATCTAATCTTGTAGATCTCATCAATATAACTGCCACTAATCCATCATAGTGATGGGATTTACAACACACAGGAAAATCTCATCAAATGACAAAATGGTGGACAGTCACGTACTGGAAATCATGGCCTAACAAGTTGACACATATTTTGGGTGGACACAATTCAATCCATGACAGCCTCCCATCCCTTGTGCAGAATCACTGATCCTTTTTCTGGAGCTGCCACTGATTGGCCACATAAAGGTCTTTTTCACTGTAACCAGGGTCTTCCATGGCTGGTAGCAAGCTAGGATGTGGAAAGAGGGCAGCAACTACCACTGGAGCCATTGTTCTGACCACCTGCTTGGCCTCTAGGTTGGCCTTTCAGTTGCCCTGGGCCACTGCTGTATCTCCCTGCTGATGTCCTTTGCAGTATACCATGGTCAGGGCGGCAAGAAGTAGCACCGCCTCAAGGAGTTGTAAAATCTGTTGGCCGCGTTGGACTTCTTTGCCGGCTGGGTTTAGGAGACCTCTCTGTCTCCACAAGGCCCATGTGCACAGAGAACCCCCAAAACATACCTCGAGTCCATGTAAACAGTGACTTGCTTGGACTTGGCCATCTGCAAAGCCTGGATCATTGCGATCAGCTTGGCCTTTTGAGCCGGGGCTCCCTAGGGGAGATGGTTGGCTTCAAGGGCCTCAGTGAGGCTGACAATTGCGTAGCCCACCCTCCGTCGGCCACCCTCTACAAAGCTACTCCCATCTGTGAAGATTTCTAAGTCAGCATCTGCTAGAGGCTGATCTTGTAGGTCTGGGCAGCTGGCATAGACCAGGTCCACAGTCTGAACACAAGCATGGTGGGTAGGGTCTCCCAGGGGCAGAGTGGGGAGAACGGTGGCTGGATTTGGATTGACAGCAGATTGGACCAACATGTTGG